AGATAGATAGATAGATAGATAGATAGATAGATAGATAGATAGATAGATAGATAGAAGATAGATAGAGAACACGAAATGGGAGAGAGCAGTATTCTGAACGGAGTGAGTGGCTTGTGATTGACGCAGACGACTGCTGTTTGCTCACCCATTCTCCCTGGAGAGACGCGCGTGGAGACACTGCAGACCGGAGAGCGAGCGGTGGGAGGAGAATACCCCGGTGGCTGCCGGACTCAACAATAATTTATGAAGTTTAATTTGGCTCATGGCTGCTTTCCCTCTCTGTGTGCGATCTAAATTGCCGTGGGTCGTGGGAATATCTCGTTTTAACCCCTCTATACCCCCCTTAATCTCTTTCCACTCGCGGTGCTTTTCGAGAGGGTTGCGGAGACGGGAGATTGAGTCTGTCTACGTAATCAATGGAGCCGGTGTCTGGGGTATACCTGAGAAACTGTGTCCTTTTCTCTTGAGACCCTCTCAAGGTTATTAAATCTAATAGATAACAAGATGCTTCAAGTGGGCGAAGATCGTTGAGTGGTTTAGATTTCTCTTTGATTGCTCCATTTCACCCTGGACTATTATATCGACGAGTAAGGGTTGTTTATATCTGGAATGAGGTTCAGCATAATGAAACAGGAATCCCCTTGAGTTGTTGAAGTCGTATCAGTTTTGAGCTCCGAGCGCTTGTGGGTTTGCAATTAAATTTATTTCTTTGTTTTGTTTTTTGGTGGTTGGAGGGGCAGTGTGCAATGGAGAGGTGGATTAAAAGCAGCAGAGTCTCAGGTTCGATTCCCGGCTACCGGACAGGACGGTACTCGTCCCTTGTTCTCTGTTAAACCAGGTGCAAAACGGCCGTTAGCACAACGCATATTTACCATATGAAAAAGTGGTCACGGTGTCTGAAAACAGAATCCAGAATTAGCTCACCAACCGGCGAATTTACTGTTAACTCGTGGGTGCTTATTCGGAGGGGTACTTGGCTTTTGAATATTCTTATCACATTAACGTTTAAGAAAAACAAATCTATAAAACCAGTTTTCCAAGAAGGAACATCACAACTATTCGAAACTCTACACAAACTGAAACTGCCATAACTATTTCGATTCAGATACAGTTTGTTGCAATTGCTTTTGTAATGATCAACACTCGCTTCGAATGTGTATGTCATATTCAGAACGAAATGAAACCGAGGATACGAGAGCTTAAATTGTATCTGTGGTTGGGATTCGTTATAACTAGAAACTTGCTCAAAATAATGTATCATGTACTTTTTGTGTTACTTTTGGTAGATACAAAAGGAAGACTTGTTGGATATTGCCCAATATATTATCAAACAAACCAATTTGGGTTCCAAAAGCTATTAAAAATGTTTCTTTCAGACTGACGAAACTTCGTTGAAGAACTTTTTCATCTTTTCTTTTGTTTGCTATTTCCAAATACAAAACTGAGCTGCCTGTCGAGAAGATTTTGTTCGTACCGTGTCCGTAGAAAAACCCTTCGAGTACAATTTACGACACCAGCAGTCTTAATGGTTCCCATTAAAAGCCCTTGTCCACACGCCACGCCTCTGGGGCACTTTCCAAACGAGCGGCGGAGTAATTCATGTCTGAATTGTAACCCCCCCCCCCCCCCACATACACACAAACCTACCCCCCGACTTTCCTTTAACATGAGACCCTAAAGTGATGAACGGCCGAAGAATAAGGTATCTGAACGTCTTTTCAGCCAATCTAGACGGGTGTTGTAAATCTGAACCAACAGTTGGCTTAATTTCCATTTCATTATCTTTTTCGAATAGGCGACTTGCCACTTTCCCCCTTCCTCCGATCTTTCTCTGTGTTTCTCCGTCTTTTCTTGTGGCCAGCTCCAGACTGGACATGGGACCGTTAGTTCCTAACACAGCTAATTAAATCAAGATCTGGCAGGGGGCGCGAGGGAGGAATGGGCAGGAGAGGACCGGCAGAGGAAATCCTGAACGTGATTTACTGGGCCCCGGACTTAGCTATTGTAGGATCGCACAAAGTCTCTCTCAGTCTCCCCATCCTCTCCCCCCTCTTTTGCTCCCTTCTCTCTCTCTCTCTCTCTCTCTCTCTCTCTCTCTCTCTCTCTCTCTCTCTCTCTCTCTCTCTCTCTCTCTCTCTCTCTCTCCCCACTTAATTTCTTCCTCCCGCCCCCATCTCCACCCTTTCACCCTCCCTTCATCTCTCTTTGCCTTTTCGGAAGGTATGGCTTTGCGTACAAGAGTATGTCTGATTGTCTGCTGTTTATGCGTATGTTGTGAGCGCGCGCGCGTGTTTGTGAATGAGTGTAGGAGAAGGTGTGTGAATGTATGTATATGTATGTGTGTGAGTGTGTGTGTGTGTGTGTCTGTGTGTGTGTGTGTGTGTATGTGTGTGTGTTTGTGTGTGTACACATGTACTTTCCAGGGCCTGTGCAATAAAAAGTGTGTATGCTTTATCCCCCATGGACATGTTCTATGAACATAATATACTATAGTAAGGTGTTAGCCAAACATAACAACACATTTTTACAGATTGCCATGAAGTAAAGCGTACACTGTATTTTTGCTGGCTGCAGTGAGCATAAGCAAATGATCGATGACCAGTTGCTATATTTACTGCGCTTTCGTTGCTACGTATTTCAATTTCTCTTTCACCATGTGTGAGATTGGTCTTGACCTCATTCTTCCTTTGGCTGCGATCCTCAGCCGTCTCTTCCAGGAGTTCTAAAGCTGACCTCTGTTGAGGCTACGCCCCTTCTGCTGACATGTTGGTCGTAGCTTTGCCTGCGACGACCGTTTTTTTGTCCTCACTTCTGAATATTTTCGTAGAAAAGTTGTCGTCTTATTTGTCTGTCTTCCGTGCTTTGCCTCTCAAGTATGTGTTGCATGGGTAGTGAATTTACATTTTGAATTCCTAATCATTCCGGTATCACTTTGTGGATAATTTCGTCCTTACATTTTATCTGAAGAATGTCTTTCTAAGGCGTCTCATATAACACTATTGAGGTTTTTTCCTGATAAGAATACACTGTCCAGGTCTCCCCAACGAAACGCACGGAGCCTAAACACACTCGTGATACACTGTTTTCCGGAGCCTGAAAGTGAGATTCCTTATGCAGCAAATTGTCTTTGACAGAGTACTGACTGTTGTGGACTTCTTGTCAATTCTGACCTTCCACTCTTTTAAAATGCTTGTTTGCCGGTCATTCATTTTGATACCAGAATACGTACGTACGTAAATGGCATCTCTGGATAAAACAAATTCATCTCCCACTCTTCTCCCCCCCCCCCAACCTCGTGGGAATGAAATAGCAATCAGTATTACAATTTATATTGCTAGTCCACCAGTGTTTCCTGAGTATAAATATCCATGCAGCGTTTGTGAGTGTAATAACTTCGAATTACTTACAACAGATGAACGTTCAGTTTAAATACACCTGAGATGAAAATAATTTTTCCGAGTACCACTGTCTTTCCGTATGAATGCAGTAAGTATCCCAGACAGCCCAAGTCTAGGTCGGGAGTAAGACTTTTGAAGTCATCATTTGAGTTTTGAACTTTTTCTAAAGTTCTTTGAATCTCAACACGATAGAACAACGTGTGATTAAAAATACCTGACGCAAAACATTATTTTTCATTGATCGTTTACAAGAAGGGAAATTAAGAAAAAAAACAACTCTTGCCATATTGAAATCCTCTGTTAGTAGCGTTGGAATGAAGAAACCCAACTCTTCCCGATGCTCTGCTTGGCTATTTGATGGTCAATAAATAAAGCCATTGCATAACTCTCGGAAGGGTCTAGCGGTATCCGCAGTTTCCCACTCCATTACCCGCTAAATGCAGCACGAAGGTTCAATCCGCTGGCTCGGGAGAAGTTTGTTTCCCCAGGAGCACGCTTTGTTTACCACAGCATTAGTGATGGCCGGCTAGTCAGGCTTTTGGGACACGCTCAGTGTCTTGATGTTTCCCTTCCCCGGGACTGGCGGCCGGCGCTCGGGCCCCGCGGTACTACAGCAGAGCCAGTTCCCAATTTGGGCGCGCAACAACGAACGTAGCCCGGCTCTGTAATGTGGACGCAAAGATCACGGCGTCTATCCATCAAATCGATAACGCACCATGCGAGCAAAAATTCCCTCCGTGCGGACTGTTCTGTATTTGTACTGCGACTCATCCATCCGGCCCTAAATCCGACGTTTATATCCAAAGTCAACGCGTCCCTAAACCACCGGTTGAGGCACCGGTTCAGAATCATTCATCACGATGACCATCCGCCCTCCTCCCCTCCCTAATGATGTATCGCATAACTTCATCCCCTCTCTGTTCCCCCCAGCCCCCACCCAAATCCCTGGGTCCTTCTGGTCGGAAATTGGTCATTCTCTCTTGAATGCGACTGCCACAATCAGCATCATTCGAGGCGGTCGGGAAGGCGGGGGATGGTATTCTAACAGTACAGGGAGCATTCATTTGTTCTGTGAGGCGGATCTCTCTTTCTGGTTCACGAGAAGGAGCACTCCGTAGATTTCAAAATAAAGTGCTTGCTTTCGCGGTCTGTGACGTAATCTACTTCCGGTTATTGCGCATACGCGGCAATCGGCCTCTTTTTTTGGCTATTTATTTTAAACGTCACCATTGACTTATAGCTGTCGCGGACATTGCCCACACTCTCACAGTCAATGGAGTGCGTGTGTACATAACGGTGCGAATTCTTACACTACTGTTTTCTTGAAGTATTTAATAGCGTGAGCCTAGTTTTTGAGTCATGTGCTTCGAATAATAACATGGTGGTTGCTTAAGACTAATGATATTGAACAAACACGTACAGCAAATGTTATTTTCCGTCCAGATACCACGTTGGAGAGCTTTCATTTGTTTTTAAACTCTGACAACACATCGTTTTCAAATGCCACGATTATGAATTATTTGACTCGTCGCGTGTGACAAGTAAAAACAAGGTACAGGTCGTTGTCAAGTTGTTAAAATGTACTGTGCTTAGAAAGCAATTTTTGGTCAGGAGAGATAAAAAGAACTCTTTTATTTTATTAATGGATCTACTTGTAATATTAAAAAATGTAACAACTGTAACAACTGTAACAATTGTAACAATAATGTATATTTTCCTGCTTTTTAAATTAACAGTTAGAATTTTAATTTCGTCTAAATATTTCTTGAGCATATACAATGCAATTGATCCCACAGATTAAGAAACAGCGATAAAGAAAGAAAAGAAAGGGGGGGGGGGGGGGGCGAAGGGGGGGGGGCTAAGAACATGTGAACAGCTGGCTGACGTTATGTTTGAAAACTTTTGAGCAAAATGTTAAATCCTTATACGATAAATGTTAGTCTTTCGAATAAAATGCACGACGCCGATCAATAAATCCTTTTTCAGAAGCTATGTTCTTATTCTTTTTTTTTTTGTTCACGCCCCTTCGAAGAAAAGGTTACTTTTCCCCCTCGTACAGCTGTTTCACATAGCGTATTACGTGGACGCATCAGTCACCAAACATGAAATAACGAATTTCAAAACCAAATAAAGAGCACAACAGAACAACGAACCTCAAAACCAGTTTTAAAAAAGACCAAACCAAAACTGAGGACTTTAAGGATATGCTATTTTTCTGGAATTACTGCTTTCGTGCCAGTATTTCGTGCAAAGAATGAACGTAATCCAGGATTGTTGTCAAAAACGATAGAAGAGGCAGGACGTTTCCACAGAATTTGGAACAGAACGTTTCACAATATACGTTATAGTTTGCTGCTTCGCTTCACAATGGATGATACCACAGACGACTCGACTGAAGAAATTTTAGAGTGAGTACATACATTACTGCTGTGTAGTTTTGATATATATTTCGTTTCTGTTTTAGTGTGTTACCTAGTTGATTCCGTTCAAGAGGGGTATTGCTTATTTTCGAAATAACGTTTTCAGGCGATGCTTTTCTGTTGAAAAGCTGTCTGGTTGCTACATTTTCATATTTTTGTGTGTGAAAATATTTTTCCTTTACTTGTGCTTCAGTGATTGCCATGAAAAGAACCACATTTTGTTGACATTATGTAATTACAGCGCACACGCTGAGTCAAATCTTCCGCGATCGATAACGCACGCCCGTCTGGCTGAAAACTACCCTCAGTGCAGTCGGAAAAAGCCACCTGCCGCCCAACATTAGGGTTGATAATGATGCCTCCTCTCATGAAAAAATACCCCCCCCCCCCAAAAAAAAAGAACCCAACAAAAAGAAAAACACACAACAAAATCCAACAAAAAACAAAACAAACAAACAAACAAACAAACAAAAACCCACACAACCCCCCCCCCCCAAAAAAACCCCAAAGACCTGCGCACCCCCAACCACAAAAACCTCCTAAAAATACAACACAAGGAACCCAAAATAAAAACAAAAATGTTAAAAAACAAAACAAAAACAAAACAAAACAAGCGCTCTTAGGGAAAAACGACGCTAACAAAAGAGGCAGCATCCTGGTAATAGTATAACAATCGGTAGACAAGAACACTAACATAAGACCCTGTTCTTTGTCATAAATTATTATAAGAGTGGATATTTTTATACTACATCTCTGTTGTAAACATCTATCGAACAATGAAATTCTTCCTTCATTATCCCACATTGAGTACATATCCGATATCTTCCAAACAGTTTCTATTATGACCTGTTAACTTGCCAATGTATGCACAAACATACACACACACACACACACACACATACATGCCAAAACACACACACACACACACACACACACACACACACACACACACACACACACAAACACACACGCACACACACACACACATGCACGCACACAAAAAACATATATGTGCACACGGAGAACAAACTTTTGCAGACACATACACATACATACACACGCACGCACACACGCACAAAACAGGCAGACTGACAGACAGACAGACAAACAGACAAACAAGCAGAGATACAGATTTGATATGACAGACATCGCGTGTACATGTACTTTGAGCACTACAACTATTATCGTGTAAACCCCCCCCCCCCAACAACAAACAAAAAAAACAACAAAAAAACAAAAAACTGGCCACAATCTTTCTGAATCACTTGGATGATGACGTACAAGGGCAAGGGTAGGGCGCGAGTAGAATTAAAGTGTGAAAAAACCTCATCAGCTTTTATATTAATTAATTTTGTTTTGTGTTCATTGCCGTGTCCCTGAAAGCTTCGGTTCTTTACAGCTGTAAAGCCAGTACTTTACAGCTGTAAAGCCGTTCCATTTGAGCGCTTTATTGGGAACGGAGCTAAGGGGATGATTATAGGTATACTCTTGCAGGTGAGTGGCTTCGGTTGTCTTGTGGCTACCGGATTCATAATCTTGTTTGTTTGTTTGTTTAGTATAGGGTTTTACGGCGCTCGCAACTGCATAAGGTCATATGAGCGCGCGGGACACACCTAATACTTTTTCGTTGGTAGGAAATTTTGAATTTTGCCCGGGTGGCGGCCGAAGCCTACTCTTATCGATTTTAGACCACCAAGGGATCTTTAACGTGCGTAACTTGCACACGGGCCCTCCGAGATTTTTCGCCCTTGTCCGAGAAGGCTAGGTGTAGATCTTTCCTACCAGAAAATCAGGGGTGTGGCAGAAAGACAGCACTTGGGAGGAGCCAAGGAGTAGCAGTAGAAAGGCTGCAGAAAGAGTCAGGAGCCCAGAGGAGGGGGCAAAGGAGGTGAGGGGGTGGGGGCAGAAAGTGGAAATGAAAGCAGACAACAGAACATTGTTAGAGATCAGGAAAGGATGTGAAAGGAGACAATTTTAGAGAAGAAAATTTTTTGGTCGCTACCCGGAATCGAACCCGGGACCTTTGAATGAGAGGCCAACACCTTAACCTCTAGGCCACGAGAGCCCCCTCATAATCTTGTGGTTGCGGGTTCGTTGGTTCGAGGCTCTTTGCCTGTTCCGACGTGGTGGTCTTGGGAAAGACACTTTACACGAATTTCCCATTTGGCTTCGGGGATGTGTGTTAGATTAGGAGATCCCGCCTCTTAAAAATAAATGCAGTGTTGCAAAGGGCGCTAAACTTGTACAGTTTCACTTTTTTCATGCAAATTACTCTGGGGTTAAGACTAACGTTTTAAATTGTTACATTTCTATTACTCATTCTCTGTGTATCTCCGTAAGTCTATAGTAGAAGTGCCTGCTTGTGTCACGTCTATGTGGGTACACACACACACACACACACACACACACACACACACACACACACACACACACACACACACACACACGCATGCTAACACACAAACACACACACAGACACACACAGACACACACACACAGACACACACACACACACACACACACACACACACAATTATATATCGTACGCATACAATTCTAAAAGTGCCTGCATTATAGGACCGGAAGAGGACACGACAAATCAACACATGCCAAAAATAAATACACACATGAGACCCATGCATGTCCTCAGGGTATATTCTATATCTCTCTGCCGGAGAAGCACCCGTCATCCCCAGGACATCGGAACATAAATATTTGATTAAAACAAATGGGGGCCTGTCAATACCGTGCAATGTTAGCATTCGCAGTCGGTGGAAATTCCGAGTTGAATACCTCACGATTATATTCGTTTTCAGGCGGGCAATGACCTTCCTCCCAATTAGATACCACAGGGATAGAAAAGCCAGAGAGCCCCCAGGCCGCATAATTAAGGCTGCAGAGTCCCTCGGCGACCCTAGCGTTTTTATCAGAATTGTAGGAAATATGAGGCACATCGTCGCTTTTTTGTTTATTGTTTTGAAAGTAATCCGACCAATGTAGTGAAATTTCACTGCTTAAAGGTTTGGAACCTTGTATAGTCCAAACTGCACATCGCTAAGCTTGTATCATGCTTGGCTGAGGTACAGATGACCCAAGTTTGAACTCAGGTTTTGGTTTCCCTCCCACTTTGGCTGAGTCAAACCAGAACAAGATATTACCATTTTCAGGAAGAAGCCTCGTGGATCGAGTGCCAAGAACACTCTTCAAACGAGTCATTAGGAATTCGAGCTATGGTATATTATCATTCGCATCAAAGCCCACCACAATACTTCCGTAGCTATTTGCGTACCCATAGGATTTTCAAACTGTTATTGTTCGGGGTCCCTGGGTTTTGACTTTTTGGTGGGTCCGTCTTGTAAAGCCTCAATCTTTCAAATGTAATCGCATTATATTGAGATGAGTGTGAGTCAGTGTCAAGATTTTTTAAAATTGAAAGCGAGCATCATGTGTTTAGTTTTTGTCAGCTCATTTCAATTCCACCCCCCCCCACCCTTTTTCGGCAAAACACTTTCGCTATCCTGGTCTCTTTGTGGCCTTTCTTGTTCTCAGCCATAATTCCATCTCCTTCGTGTGGGGGCATTTCGCCATGTCCCCATGAACTGTTTTGACGCCTTTAATATCCCAGTTTAAAAGATCTTTTGTTCCGGTAATTAACATCGTTTACCTGAAGGATCCGAGTGTAATGGCGTGAAGACCTGTGAGTGGGGTTTAATTGAATGCTGTTTACGCAGTATTTCTTTTACCGTAATGCAAAAGCCAACGATCGTTATATTTACGTCGTATGTAAAATCACTTTACACATAAACGTTGGATAGCTTAAAGAGCAAGAAATGCAGAACGTATTTGGGTATTTTCTAAAAGATCCTGTTTACTCACTGTTGGATTGCTATTAATCTAGCACTTGTAATTCAAAAACAGACGCGTAAAAAACCAAACCCACACTTCTCCATCCCAACTGAAAAAAGGAGTACAAAAATCGAATTTGCAAGAAATAAGACGTGGCTTACCAGAAAACGTCTTCCGCGTAAATCTCAGATTGAAGTAATGTGCTCTTTTGATTTTCTTTCGAAATTAACCTTCAATTTTCGAATGTGACTTGATTGAACAAAGATAAAGCTGTATTTTATTCAATGATTGCTTTTTATTGAGACTGGAACAAAAACACGTTCATCAAAAGAATGACTAATTACAGAAGAATTCGTTTTTGCACGGTGTAATCGTTGGGAAAAATACTGTTTTAAAAAACAACAACCAACAACAAAGATTAAAAGCTAAAGGGAAAATTCAAGACAAAAGTTAATGATTCAACCCGAACTTGCCGTCAACGCTCTAATCTGAACTAAGCATTATTTTTCGTTTGGTCGGAAATTTCAGATCGGCAGCGTGAAAAAGTAAGTACTTTATAGAAACGAAAGAGGTTCCAAATGAAGCAACGGATTTAGAGCTTTAGAAGAGTTTGGGAGGCAGAAGAAGTGGGTATGGGTAAAAAAAAGTATCCGTAAAGAAGTAACGAGATCACCAGCTGCCATTTTTTTCTGTGCGCCCCTTGGGTGGGCTGTGACACGTACACTGCGATCACCCCTTCAGTCTTCTTAACCCAAAGAACTTCGCTGAGACACGAAGCGCTAATGTGACGGCCTCTTGACCTGGGAGAAAAAAAACTCCAAACGTACGTGTCGTAATTTTAGAAAGATGAAAGGATGATTAGAAAGAGAAATGCATGTCGGTTGACTGAAGGATGAATGGACAGACAGACAGACAGACCGACAGACAGACAGACCGACCGACAGACAGACCGACCGACAGACCGACAGACAGACAGACCGACCGACAGACAGACAGACAGACAGACA